TCACTCTACAATTTCAAATACTAGAATAGTTATATGCACTATATATATATGTAGCTTATTTGTGTTTATTTTGATTTTATTCTAACTAATAAATAACTGTTATATGGCTGCTCAATCATTTTGCCTTTTTATGAGATTTGCTTCACATTTGTGCGTTTGCTCTGCGCGCACATTGCGCCTGGTTAAGCGAATATGCTTAGGGTGTGGCTGTAGTAAAACTTATCAAGCGTATTTGATAATTTGTGGGCACTTGAATCAATTGGGGAATGTCATAATATAAACAACACTAGCAAAATTTTCAAATGAATGCAATTTGTTTGCCAGCCAAAGCTGAAGAATTTTAAAGCTTTCGTAGTTTTTTTTTAAGCAGCACAAAAACATATGTGTGTATATATGTGTGTACACATGTATGTATATTTATGTATATTAAATTGTTGTTTATTTCAAATGCTTAGAGTACAATTTTAAGTAGCCTACTTTCGGGCCCATAAAGCAGAGCTGAAGAAAATTGTGATTTTGTGATATTTTAGTTCACTTTAAGAGCGAGAGCAAAAACAACTTGTCACCATATTGTGCACTATTGATTAGAAATGATTGAAGAGCGAGCATAATTTGATTATAAATTTTCACGAGAAGTCAAGTGAAATGCAGACTATTGTGTAGAGAAAACTTAAAAGACAAACAATTGTGTGATTAAAGCACAGACTTCAACTTGGGCTAATCAAATTCGATGTACTTATTTACTACATTTTCAGTTATTTTTTTTTTTGTGAAACACTCACTCACACACATACACACGCACACGCACACACACTCACACTCGTTTACTCAGCAGCGCCTGATGGCATTCATCTTCGAGTTGCGAACCGAAAGGCTACGAACGCAGCGTACGTTCCATGCAAACTGAATAACATTTACTTTGCGGCAATGCCAAAAGCTTTTGGCAAAAAAAAAAAACACACGCACACATATATATGTATGTGTGTGCGTGTGTAAACGGAAGAGGCAGCAATTTGAAAACACACTTTTCAGCACCTATTCAGGCAAGCTGATGAAAAAAGCTCCGAAATGTCAGTTTGGTGCAGCAAATGTGCCAGATTCGCCAAAAGTCGCCAATTTCCTTGATGCTGGCACATAGTGAAAGTGAGCAGAGCAAGGCAACTCTCCTGCTCTCTCTCTCTGTTTGCTCAAGCAGCGTGGCGCAGGCGCTAGAATTATCAAATCTGCTCGTTGTTGCTGTCATTTGCATTGTGTTGTGGCATGCAGAAAACAGCATCCCTGGACGGGAACTGACGGCGATAATAAACTAGAAACAAACACGAAATCTGTCTAAGGACTATACCTAAACATACTCGGTCGTACTGCCCGCGCACACCTTCACTAACACATCAGTTCGTAACGCTATTAGCCACAGCATCTGATTAGCCAAAACATTAAAGTGAATGTTGCCGAAGGACTCGGCCGACTACTTTCTCCTATTCGGTCAAGTGGCGCATGCCAATTGACAGATGCTGTGGAATATTGTGAATTGTTGATTGTTGAAATTGTCGTCGGTTTGTTTTAGCACGTGTTTCACTCACTACGCACACACACACACACACACGCACACGGCATACGCTGCACAATTGTAGCCGGAAACATGTTGCTGAGTTTGCGTGGGCGAAGCGCGAGACCCACGTGTGCGTGCTGCATGTGTGTGTGTTTGTGCGAGTGTGAGTAGAGTTGTTATTCCCTTTGCATATTATTATATGCAAGCATACATATATATTTATTTATATATATTTCTTTTAAACATCTTTGATACTTTACTTAACAAAAGGGCAGAGAAATCATATTTGCAACCTTTGTTGATTGCATATTATGCTTGAGGCCAACTTTGGGGTTTCTTGCTCGCTCGCAATGTAAAAAGAGTATATCAAACTTGCTTATTGTCGCTTTGTTTGTCACTATCGAGGCTAGAGGGTTAAGATATAGAAAGTATAATCAGTAACAGTCTTTCAATAAAATCTTAAAATAAATGTTAATAGTTATGTTAATGTTAATATTAAACATGTCGAATAGCTAATTCACAATATGTTTTATCTACAATAGACAATCGGATATACACATATATACGTCATTATATAGAAGACTTAAGACGAAATCCTCAGCTACAATTTAAAATTATAATATATTTTCTACTTTATATTCAGAACGTAAACGAGTATCATGCAGTCAGTTAGGCTGTACTACAACATTTTCACTTGTTATTCCTTGTATTGGCTTAATGCTGAATGGGCAAACTTTTTTAATTAAAAACTTTAAGTATTTTTTTTTATTTTTGATACACATTTATTCTTATTATGGAAGGTTGACCAACATAAAATCAGCCAAAACAAGACTTGTGGGGCAGGAAATTATTGTATATGTATATATGTATATGTATATATATATATATATAATATATATGAATCATGAGAACAGCATATATATAATATAACATAGACACAATTTTGATCAATGATAATCATATCTGTAATACAAAATCTATCCTGAACTACACCAAGAGTGCATCATACATATTTACATGATTTCTATATCATATCACGCAATCATTCATGCTCTGGGTTTTACGTCACCTTTACCTCAAATTTATTACATTAGTAATTATATTTAAATGCATCCAGAACTCGATCAATGGATGATTAAAGAACAAGTTCACATGGAGCCCCTTTACTTTCTTGTAATGCTACTAATTTGGCTGCCGCTCATCCTGTACACCCTGAAACGCCAGTGCGATAGCCTGAAACGACGACGCCAAATGCTCCACATTAAGAAATTGCAATTGGAGGTGAGACGGAATCTGAAGCGGGAGCAACTGACGTTCGATGTGGCGCGCAGCATTTTGCATGCCAGCATGATGGAGAGTGGGGCCAGCCGGGTGAGGCAGATAGAGCAGCTGGCGGATCTGCAGAGTCTACATCAGGAGATTAACGGGCAGCTGGAGGAGCTGGATGTTGCGCTAAATTCTTATCGCATTTCCGAATAAATTCAACCCAGTCAGTAAAAATCAAAGAAAATTAACAGTTCTTCGATTTAAGAGTAAATAAATATGATACACATTATTTGGAGAATAATTTGTTAAACCACAACAATGCAAGGGAGAACGTAAATGTCTAAACCTAAAAGGCTGCTACGATGTACGAGTTGTACGTTGTACGAGTTGTACGATGTGCCTTTAGGGCCTCATGAAGCCACGCGACCAGTTCTTGACCATCGGCTTTGGCTTACTCAACTTCTCGAACTCATCCGCCTGCATCTGTTCGGACAGCTTCCGCTGGTTCTCGCGAAATTGGACAATGGGCTCCTCAAACTGATTATAATACTGAAGCACCTCACGTACGTCGTCCACTTCGCTGCTTCCGAGTACGCTCAGGAACGAGATTAGATCAAACAAAGTGGTGTCATCGTCGTTGCCGGACCAACGGGGTATCGAAAATGTGTTGCCCGGATGCAATTTGGTCGAGTTTTTGTCCCAATCGACGACAACCACACGCTTTAGATCACGGTTTAGATTGTCAAGATTCTTCACATGGTGACCCCCCACAAAGTGGGTCGAATCGCGGACAAGCCGGTACATGATATATCCGCTGGGATCGAGAGCGTCGAGCAGTGGAAAAACAGTCATTCCCTGCTCGGCCGTATAGACAACGATCTCGAAATACTTGGAGCACTCTCTCAAGAAAACATCGACGCCTGGACGTTTCTTAAAACGCCATCCCGTTTGATAGGTCCAATCAGGATGGATCAGCAAGTCCTTGACCTCAAGTACCAAAGTGTAGGGCGGCTGAATATACGGTGCCTGCAGTGGATCAGGCAATAATTTTTGACTTGAAGGCTCCTGAATGAACCTCTGAAAATGATTCAACGACTTAAAAGTACGCGCCATGTATTGCTGAATCAATGGCATTGAACTGAACTCATCTATCAATTCGTTTCCTTGTTCATCAAGCGACGGCTTGCCAAAGAAGTAAATTGCCCAAAACGAAAATATCACACCTCCTATACCAAAGACCCCAAACCCTATTTTCATACGCTTCCAGGCCCGCTCCATTTCTCTAAGCTCTTCCTCTTCCTCACGTTTACGTCTGTCCCGGCTGGCCTCATCATCCAGCTCCATGGATGTCTGAGGAAACAATTTCGATAATATCTGCGTCGATGTTTTCTCGCAGGTGGAGTAGCGCCGATGGATCAAATGCACCAGATGTGGTGGCTCCAACTCAGTGAAGTGGAGATTACAACGTGGGCAAACCATTCGCTTCTCTGTGCACCTAATTGCTGCCTGCGTGTGCAGCATGACGCTGCTAATCGTCTGCCATAGGCCGGAAGTTAGCGCCCGTGAGGTGTTTATGAGCTTGCGACTGAAGCGGGTGCCTCCGTACAGCATCCGCCTTAGTGCGATTGGAGTCATTTGCAAATTGCAACGTTTGTCTGCAGATTCAAATAAATGAATTATTTAGATTTTCCAACTTACGAAATGGCCACTGAAAAATTTGACATTTTTGTTTAATTCAGCCGAGGAATTTTTCTTTAATTTGTTGATTTTCAAATGGACACTAATGGATGACAAAAAAAAGTACGCATACTATTACAAAGTATCAAAATAAGCAAAAAGTAAATAATACATATGGTGAATTATTTTTCGAATCGCGCGGGCTAAAGCTGGCCAAAATAAACGCCAGTGCTGCCAGGCTTTTGCTTTCTTATGCTAAGCCCTACCAGATCGTCAAATTATCATAGCCTTGCAGCTGATAGCATCGAAGAAAATAAGAGAATGAAGGACAAACAAAAACAAACTTATTATGAGAGCTACCAGATCACCAAATTATAATGGAAGTGGTAGCTGAAAATATCGAATAAGAAGAAGAAAGCTTATAAAAAACAATACAACAAAGGACAAGTAATTTTGCAAAATTATATTAAAATAGCACAAATTCATATTGCTTAAGTCTAAATATTTGTCTTATGAAATATTTATATGAAGTAGTTAAAGCCAAACAACTCAAAGCGACGAAACAATAAAAGTAGAAGAGGCCCAAGATTTATAATTGGGTTTCTCTTTACCGGTTTGTTATTGAAAATAAAATAAGCTACATATGGCGCCACCTCGGCACAGCGGTTTTGGGGGAAATGGCGGCGGTGGAGGAGGTATGGGTAATATATTTATAATAAATAAAAACAAAAAGCTAAAATACTTTATGCAAATATTACAGGACGATCTGGTTTTGGTGGACATGGAGGTGGTACGTATTAAGTATATAAAAGCTCTAACACTTGAATAAATTAAAATTTCTTAAAATATTATTCCAGTCCGTTCTGGTCGAGTAGATAATCGTTCTCGTCGCAGTGGGGGCATGAATCGTGGAGCTGGTTCTGTAAATGATGATTTTGGAGGTAAGAAATTTAATTTATCTTTATATATCTCAAATAATAAACTTTTTGGCCTAGGCCTGCACATTGTCAATTGGTCCGAGATGCGTCTGCAGCCATTTCAAAAGAACTTTTACCAGGAGCATCCCAAGACTCGTAATCGTTCGCCAGAGGAAGTGGCTGCCTATCGCAACCAACATCAGATCACAGTGCGCGGCATGGCGCCCAATCCCATTCGAGGCTTTGACGAAACATGCTTTCCAGACTATTGCATGAATGAGATACGACGTCAGCGGTATGTAGAACCCACACCCATTCAAGCCCAAGCATGGCCAATTGTTTTGTCGGGCCACAACCTGGTTGGCATAGCCAAAACAGGATCAGGCAAAACTCTCGCCTTTATACTGCCCGCCATAGTGCACATCAACGGCCAGCCGCCCTTGAAGCGTGGCGATGGCCCCATTGCACTCGTACTAGCCCCCACCCGCGAGCTTGCCCAGCAAATTCAGACGGTGGCCAATGATTTTGGGTCCAGTTCGTATGTGCGGAATACATGCATTTTTGGCGGAGCACCACGTTCCAAGCAAGCGAGTGACCTGCAGAACGGTGTTGAAATTGTGATTGCCACGCCCGGTCGTTTACTGGACTTTCTGCAGAGCGGCACAACGAATCTGCGTCGATGTACATATCTTGTATTGGACGAGGCTGATCGCATGTTGGATATGGGCTTCGAGCCGCAGATACGCAAAATACTGAGCCAAATTCGACCGGACCGTCAAATATTAATGTGGAGCGCAACGTGGCCAAAGGAAGTACGTCAATTAGCCGAGGACTTTCTCGGCAACTATATACAGGTAAGTGGAAGTTAGCCTTAGTTAATAATACTATGTAATAACTCTAAAACTCAAATCTAAATCAGATTAATATTGGATCACTGGAGCTGTCCGCCAATCACAATATACGACAATACGTAGATGTTTGCGCGGAGCACGAGAAAGGATCCAAGTTAAAGGATCTGCTGTCACACATTTACGATCAGTCTGGGATGCCCGGCAAAATTATCATATTTGTAGCCACCAAGAAAAAGGTGGATGAGCTGGCTCGTTTCATCAATGCCTTCGGAGTTGGCGTCGGCTCCATACATGGCGACAAATCCCAAATGGATCGGGATAATGTGTTGAATGACTTTCGCAGCGGTCGTGCCAACATTTTGGTGGCAACCGATGTGGCGGCGCGTGGCCTTGACGTGGATGGCATTAAGTATGTCATTAACTTTGATTTTCCCCAATCATCGGAGGACTATATACATCGAATCGGTCGTACCGGGCGCAAGCATTCAACGGGAACCTCGTACGCATTCTTTACACGAAAGAATGCCAAGTGTGCTCGCGCCCTGATTGAGATTCTGCGCGAGGCCAATCAGAATATAAATCCCGAGTTGGAGCACATAGCGCGCGATTCGGGCGGTGGCAGTGGACGAAGCCGCGGCAATCGTGGATCTACCAGAAGTTACAACGGTGGCGGTGGCGGTGGCAACCAGTTTTCCGGCGGATTCAATGCCATGAATGGTGGCAACGGATCATCCGGAAGAACCAATAATTTCAGCAACTTCCGTGGCAGCTACAATGCCTTTAGCGAGGGCGGCAATCACTTTGGCTCGACGAGCAATGCCGGAAACAATTTCAATGCCAACCAGGGCCAAGGCCAAAGGAACTTTGGCTCCGGCTCCGGCGCAGGCTTTTCGTACGGTGGCAACAGATTCTCAAATTCAGCGCGCCATTAAATTTAAGTTGTTGAGCTTATCGCTAAGTTATTATCAAATGTTTTCAACTTCCATTCAGTTCACCTCATCTCTCGTCACCCCATTCGTATTTAATGGCCCCCAAATATTATGACATGAAGATTTTAATCCTCAAAAATGATATATAAATAAAAAGAATGAACGGAAAGGGCAGCTAAGCAAATAATTTAAAAACAGTTTACAAGAATACATATATTAATTACTACATGGGCGCATTGTTATTACAAATCAACAAATTGATATCTTAATGCTATTCATGTTTTGTGTGTTGTTTGTGGATGTTGCTCTAAATGCTATGTTGATTATTTAGTTCTCTCTGCCCCAACGTCTCAAGCCTGAGGCGGTGTATGACGTGCGCCTGGAATTTCAATTGAGTTCAGACTTAGTTATTGGATTGCCTTAATGTGGTTGCTGGCCAAGTGGTATTACCCTTTTCCTTGTGCTTGCGCACTTTGCTTGAGCGAGCGCCGTTGGCCGTATTTTTAGCTGCAGTGCCTGGATCGCACTTCCTAGAGATTGTGCGCACCTGATTGCAACTCTGATGACTGCCATCCTCGGATACCTTCACTTTATCCTCCCGTGTCATTTGGCCAGCCTTGCACTCCGACCAGGCGCCCTTCTCATAACGGCAACCTAAGGTAAGGTAAATGGAGACAGGTGAGTATGATTGTATTTATATATGTGTATATATGAATTCAAACTAGAGAGATCACAAAAAACAATATTTGCATTTAGATTTATGTAGGGATTACCCTAGAAGAGGGGAGTACACATATTTGTGTATAGTCAAAAAACTCTTACAGTACTTTTTGAACACACCTCGCTTATAGCTTCATTGGCACCTACCTTTGCATTTCTTCTGTACGGTGCGCGTGGGCAGACAGCTGGACTCGCCCTTTCTCAAGGTCATCGTACGCGTGCGCGTATTGGTCTTGGCATCACAGTCCGTCCATGAGCTTGAGACATAACGACAGCTTTGTCCTAATTGAAAAATATATATTATTTACTTTAATTATTGCATGTATGATTACATGATATATAATATACGATTGGAATATGCCTTAAGACTTGCTATTAGATTATGGATTATTTGAGGTCTATGGAAAGTATTTTTCAGAAAATTGTAATTCAATGGAGACTATGCAACTTTTTTGTAAGTTGTGAAGCAGGGAATCTCTTTTCATTCAAATCCATTTCAAACAGTTGCCTGAGTCTTTAAACTTTGCACTTACCATTACCTTTCTCTGATGCCTTTGCCTTCGCTCCCGATCTCTTGCTCGCACGATGCTTATGCTGATGCTGCTGCTGCAGCTGTGGCTGCTGCTGATGATGATGATCCTCGCCTTGTGGCTTTATCATGTGCCGCTGCAGCTGCAGCTGCTCCTTGCCAGCCGCTGCCGATGATTTCTTGGAGCCCGGCTTGCGAGCACCTACCGCATCAGCGCGTTGCATCTGGTTATTCGACTTGTTCGACTTCCTGTTGTTCTTCACACGTTTATTTCCACCCGTTGTGGGAGTCGTTGCAGCTGGTATCAACTTGTCCGCGTCGGCCTCGCGCGCTGCACGCACCATCACATTCCCGGAGTAGCTTTTGAGGACCAAGCTGGCGCCGCTGGCCAGCTCCGTCAATGCTGCAGCATGGTTCTTGCCACCACCACCACCACCATGATGGCCATGGCCGTGACTCAATGATGTCTGCAGCGCCAATGCAGCCAACAGGCAGGGGACCAATGCCCGCAGAGTTATGCGAGTTGAAATCAACATTTCAGACCTGCTGGAAATATGATACGATGTTAGATATAAAGCTAATGAGCGTGATGATGATGATGATCGTAATGATTTCTGTGAGCTCCAGGTCTTTTCGATATCCATGAAACTATTTTAACCAGCAAGCCCATAAATTATACGAGATTTTCTAAAAATATTATTCATTAGCTAAATCAAATGTGTTTATAAAAATATGGAAATAATATTATTTATCTCTTATATCTCATTGCATCAGAAATAAGCCAAAGGAAATCATGTTTGCTGCACATGTTCAACAGATGTGCCATTATAGGAATGTTTTTATATGGATTCTGCGCTGAGCAGCTGCAGATGGATACCGAAAAAATCATTTGAATTTCAGAGGAACAATTTCAGTTGTTCATATTTGAGTTGTGCAAATGAAAATGATACTTGAAACTTGACTAAGTTGGGCTTGTTTACTTAAAGCTATACCCTCTGTGCTATATACATATACATATATATTTTCTCTCGCTCTGCATCCATCTCTCTCTCTCTCTCTCTCTCTCCCTGTCTCTTTCTATTGAAAGTTGTTTTCGGGTTAGGCCAAAGTTTTCAACTTTGTTGACTAGTTGCAAGTGCAAATTGTAAAAATGTTTTGTGGCCAGCTCTAGACTCTGGCACTTGTTCTCATCGTGTTCTGTTCGTTCGCTCGCTCGTTGTTTGTTTGCTTTAAGTTGTTGCTTTTGTTGCATTTGGAGAGTACTTAATTTATGCTTTTGTTGAAGCTTCAATGTTTTGGCTAGAGCCATGTCAAATGTTTTTTAGCTGAAATTTAGTTTATTAACTTTTTTGTTAACAGCCAAGGAAGAAGAAGAAGAAGCAGCAGCTCAGTTGGGTGCGTTGTTTAAGCTAAATGTTTTCATAGTTTTTCACATAAAATAGATAACGAGATGTAGCAAAAACAAAAATTACTAATTAGCAAAAATGAAATATAATAGAACTTTCAATAAACGAATAGCTTCAATGCAATATTGCATATAAACTTAAAAGCTATTTTGACATATTATAATTTTATTTGACTTCAATATATTATATTTATTTATATTTTTTATTTAAAAAAACTTAATATTTAATTTAACATTTTTAAATGATTTTTTATTAGTTCGTCATTTTTTTTTTTTTTTTTTTTTTTTTTTTTTCTTCAAATTTTTTTTTTTTTTTTTTTTTTTTTTTTTTTTTTTTTTTTTTTTATTTCTCATCAAATTTATTCATTTATATTTTTAAATAAATATTCGGTTAACTTCTAAATTCTAAAACATGACAAATGCAAAAATATTTTATGCAAATTGTTTACACACAATTAGCTTAAAACAATTTAGAATGCTTTGGTCGTAAGTGCCCCACTAGGAGATGCTTGTACCTTGAACCCAGCTCGAGCTGCCTTTTCAAAACTCAAGCTTCTATCACACGTACACACACACACACATGCATACATCTATGGCTGGCATGATTCGAACTTTGTTTTGTTTATTTTGCCGCTCTATTGTTAACTGGGCTGCCTGTTTTCTTTGAAACTTTTTAGGACTATTGAAAAATTCACAAAGCATGAAAAGCACAACTGTCTTTTGCCAATATCCTGATATATATACATACATATATGTAAATGTACATATATGTACATATATGTATGTATGCACATGTGTTTCTCAATGGCCTTCCTCTGCCTCTTTTAACTAGATTCCAACCCATTCATGTCTCCAATTGGCCTTCCTATTGTTGCTTGGCCTTAATGCTTTCCTCTCCATTGTCATTTTACCTGGCCTACGGCAGTTGCTATCGCTATCCGTATTGGATTACATGCAAGCCAGAGAAATCTCAATGCATCGATAACTTTTTTGTTTCGACACCAAGAACTTTCTAAGGCCATGAAGAAGGCCATGAGCATTGCGTTTGTTTGTATAACCAGATGAACGTCTATTTTCTCTTAAATAGGCCAGCGATGATCGCGCTTGCATTTGATGCAGTTGGTAGAGCTTTTGTATGTTTACTTTATGTACAGTGGGCGGGGTTATAAAACAGGTTGATCTATAGTCTCAGAATTGACATGTAGGGTTCTAGTTTTGAAACAATAATGTATGGAGTATTATTGGTTTGGCGATGATTAAATTGGCTAAGATTCCATATTGGGGTATATACATACATATATGCATATTTATATATGTAGGTATAAAATTTTACATTCCAAGTCTTATCACAAAATAAATACATTGGAAATCCTCATATTCCTCATCTAAAAACTTTATTAGCACATGGATACAGTATTTATGTATAATTCCAAGTGCTTCCAGCAATATACTCTGTTCTTTTTATGAACGAGCATTAACTTAATTTTTAATGCAACATACATACATATTTCAGCTCATATCTAATCCAGTCAGCTTACATTAATTCTACTTCGACTTAATTCCTTACAAAAAGTTTCTTCCAGTTTGTTTTCCAGTTGGTCAAATTTTTTTTCATTTATTCTACTCAAGAATTTCTTGTTTTTTTTTCTTTGGCGCGCGCACCTTTAACAACAACACACACAAACGACTCCAGAGAGAATGCGAAAGAGAGTGAGGAAGAGAGAGAGGTAGATAAGCACTCAAAAGGTTCACTGTTACCTGATGTTAATGCACTCTGTTAATGTTTTGATTTTGTAAAGCTTTAAAACTCAATTAACAATACTATAAAAATAATTATTAGTTTTATTTCAAGACGCGTTGCCGCTGCCGCTGCCACTGCCGATCGACGTTGTCCAGAGCTGAGCGAGAACTGAGTGAAGCTGGCGGCGACGCGACGCGACGCTGCAACAAGCAACACACTTGAAATACGAGAGGCAACAAAATAACTCAGCTTGCCACACACTCACACAAACACACACGCAATACACTGAGCGAAATAGTGAGTGAGATGAAGGCGAGATTGAGTATGTATGTATGTATGTATATAAATATAGGATTATCTGTAATGATGAACAATATTATATCTATATGGTTTATATATTTATATATATATAATAATGTACATACATATATATACATTATTCTTATCTGTAATATTTGTTATTGTAGTGCAACGTCCCAACAAGTGTCGCCAAGCAGCAGCTGCAGCCTCTATTCGTCCATATGATTGATGGAAAGTAAATGCATATTATTATTGATAAGACCAAAGACATATACATACAATTTATTTATATAAATAAAAACTGCTTCAATTGCGCTGCGCTTATAATAAAATCTTGTTAAAAATAAGGCAAAACGCAAAATCCGTAAGAACTGATCAAAATAAAGTCGTTGAAGCTAAGATTCAAGAAAGCCTAAAATATATATACATATAAATGTAATACTCTGC